GTTCCTCTGAAAGAGGAATCACTGGAGAGTCTGGGACACGTTTTATGGACTGCACATTCCTTATGAAAACACCGTGCAGGGAGCTGCCTAGCTTGATGCAATGTGTATTTATGGTGAAATTTCAGAGAAACATTCCTGACACGTTACTGGGTTGTTCACTGAAAGAATAGGAAGCATGTTCAGTATTTTTGCAATATGTGATGTTGCCTTTTTACTGGTATTATGAAAATCTGTTTAAAAAGAAATAAGTGGGATGCTGTAGTTAAAAGTTATTCTCTCCCTGAGGCCAAATCTATGCAGGCCCCAGAGTAATTCAGATTTACTTAGTATGGTCCAGAGTTAACTGGACCTGGCAACCAAGGTGGACTGCACTGCTTGTTTGTTCAACTGCTAAGCAGAGACGTTAACAAGAAGATGGAGGGGTTAGTAGAGTGTGATGTACTGTGGTTTACAGAATACTCCATTGAGCCATTTGCAGAACCACAGTGAAGTCTGCAAATGATAGTGCTACGATTTTATAGCCTTCTTTAGTGCTGGTAATGAGAACTAGGACCATTTCCGTGCAATTTCAAACCTCCGCATCAGTGTTTGTAAATAATCAAAGTTTGTAAAATTTTCTGCACAACTTTTTGCCTCCCCAGCAGGAGATCTGAATTGAGTGCCCCATCACCCCATGTTTTCTAAATCCACTTTTCCCACAATTTTTTTCCCCTTCAGAACTGAACTTGCAGTTTTCCAGTAAGGAATTCCCAATGAATTTTGTTCCCACCACCCTTTTGTGTTGTCAGTGTTGTGTGTTCACCACCATCCTGCCGTCCTGACCCCCCTCATGTTGTCCCCTGAGCAATTTGCTAATTTTGTAAAGCGTAATGTTGATTGTGTTAGGAACAATTTTGTTTCCATTATAATATAGCAATGTAATAACATTGGGGCAAAACAGGCAGTGAGGTTTCATGTAGTCTTCTCCATGCAATTACCCATAATAATGCTTCATAATTATTAAATAATCCAGTTATAAATTGGCGTATCCGTTTCGATGATCACGAATGGAATACTATTTTCATTAGGATTAGGAGGCAATTAAAAATTGAAATCAGATAAGTCACGAGGCCCAGATGGGCTTACTAGTGAATTTTACAAATGTTTTGCTACAGAGTTGGTACCACATTTAGAGAAATTATTTGCTTAGATGCAGAAAATGGGAGAAGACTCTAAAGAATAGGCAGATATAAATATAGCTCTCATCTTAAAGGAAGGGACAGATCCTCATGAGGTTGCTTCCTATAGGCCATTTCGCTACTCAACACTGATAATAAAATCAGTATTGGAGGATTATATTGGATAGGATCAAACAGGCTTTTAAAAGGATTATTTAATTTCCTGGAACATCAGAAGATTGGTTGATTTAATTAATTTTGCTGAAGTAAGAAATTATACCTGATATGTTATTCTTTGTTGACACAGAGAAGGCATTTGACAGAATGGATTGGTCCTTCCTGAATACAGCTTTAACTGCCTTTGGAGTGGGCAGTATGTTTTGCCACTCAGTTAAAATACTGTATAAAGCTCCAAGAACCAGAACAGTGAATTGTAGAAGTACCTCCTCCTTCTCTGAACTGAGAAGAGGAGTAAGACAGGGTTGCCTACTCTCAGAGTTATTGTATAATATAGCAATTGAAATTTTAGCAATAATCAGCATGAGGGAATTAAGGTTATTAATTTCCCAGCAAAATAGTACTAAACTGCTTGATGTACGCTGATGACATTGCCTTCACAATATGGTGCCCTAAGAGCTCAATGATATGTTTAAATAAATTGATACTGCTCTTTGGAGCGATTTCTGTATATAAAATTAATAACACCAAGTCAGTGTTAATGGGAGTAGGATTAACAGAAGAGAACAAAAGTATAATAAATGAAGTTATTAAGTAATCATGGAAGACAAAGAAGATAAGATATTTAGGCATTTTAATTTCTAGTAATCTGGACTAAATAATGGAGCAAACCTTGTGTCCAGTAAGGAAAAAAACAGAAAATGACCTTAAAAAAACCTGGTCTAAATATAAACTATCTTGGCTAGGACATATTGCCCTTATTAAGATGAAAATTCTACACCCAGGTTCCTTTTCGTAATTACAATATTATCCTTGTTAGTCAATCAGGTAATGCTGAATAAAATCTAGCAAATATTAAACAAATTTATCTTGGAGGATAAACAACCCAGGATTAAAAACTGGATGTTACAACAGACATGGGAGAATGGCGGCTTCTCAGCCCTAGTTAATTGCTTTAGAATGGATAAGGCACAGAAAGTTTGGGAAATGGAACAATATGGTGTTACCTGTTCACTGAATAATTGGATTTGGAAACATAGTAAGTATAGGGCAGATCGAGGTGCTATGCATATTTGTAGGATATTAGCAAAGATATGGGATTGGTGAACAATTAGATTAGGTTTGGACAGTTCCCTTTGCATGCCAATATTCCAGCATTAGGATTTTGCAGGAGCCATTCAATACAGGACTTCAGAGTATGGGAAAGCCTAAAAATGACTAGAATTTCTGAAAAACCAAACCATTAAATCTTATGAAGAACTTCAACAAGAGGCCGGTGAAGCCCCATTACCTTTTTAACAGTACCTTCAGATAAAGAATTTTATTCAATTCAGACTAAGACAGTATAATATTTATTACCCCTTAAACAGATTTGAATGTATTCTAAGCCAAGTTGAACTACATAGATGATTGGTAGCAACTATCTATGGGATACTCGCAGACTCAGAAATTAAGTATACAGCTTATAAAAAAGATGGGGAAAAGATTTAGAAATTAATATTTCTGAAGTATCTGGCAAGAATTGCAGTTTGGTGCCAGTTTGAGTGTAGTGGGTAAGTGTGCGGACTCTAATCTAGGAGAACCGGGTTTGATTCCCAACTCCTCCACTTGCACCCCACTCCACTCTTCTTCTTCTTCTTCTTCTTCCTCTTCTTCTTGATGGGGTCAGAATATCAGTTAATACAGGCACCAGAGAAAATATCATGTATAGGTGGTATCTCATGCCCAATAGCCCTGCTAAGATATTGTGGTAAGAATTTTTAGAAATATGGAAGGTTTGGGTTTAAAATGAACCAAATAGTTTATGAAATCCATATATCTGTCTCTGTTTCTTTGCTAGCAGAACAGCAAGGAGGCCTGGCCTGTTCCAAGCCCTTTGTTATAGACAAATCTCTTTATCAGTCACCCCGGCAAAAGTTCAAAACATGCCAATCCCAGGATTTGAATCAGTGAATGTTTCCCCAGGTGTGAGACTTACAATAACCAGCAATAAAAAGGGCAGCTGGTCAGGAAAGCCAGCTTGGGAAGTGACAGACCCCAATCCAAAATGCAAACTAACTTCCTGAGATACAGAGTTCACACGCACCCCGCTTTCATCTCAGCGATAGCACCAAAAGGACAGTTTATTTCCCATAATTGGGAAACACCAGGAGAAAACAATGACACTGTATTGATCCTGTGGAATGTGAACTTTTGTTGTGTAAGACCAAGGACGCAATTTCCTGCAAGACAATTTCAACTTCTAAATGTTAATTTACAACTGTAAAATAAGGGACCTCTTTGATCATGTGGTATAAATACTGGTCCAATCCAACAGACTTTTGCTGACTCTTGGTAGGAGTCAGTCCGAGAGGTCTCTCGTTCTCTGCATGCCTTGGGTGGGGGGAAACTTTGTTTGCATGTTTATTCTTCTATGCATCTACTATCAATGTTTAGGAAATAGGATTCAAGTGTTTTTCTTTAATAAAGATAGGTTTTATTTTAAGAAGAGACCTTTCTGAGTCAGCGCTTAGTGGTTTCCAAGTTTACACATCTGCCTTTGGTAAGGAGGCATCACTCAGGGGACAAAAGAACCGAGGGGAGAGTGTGGGTGACACGGGTAAACACGCATTCACAGACACGTGCAGCCACACACATTTTTCTCACAACAGATATCAGGAGGCAAGTCCAGTCTGTGCTGGTGATGTATTAGGGAGGTGGGAATCCTTTTTCATATATGGTGTCAATGCCTGCTGGCTCAAAAATTCTGGAACACCATAATTAGGGAAATTGATGTTATCCTAAATGGCAAACTGCTGCGTGACTCCAAAACAGTCTTGATAAATATTTTACTGGATAATATTTTAGAAAAGGAAATATATCTAGTTAAAAACTTGTTGATTTCAGTAAGGCAACTGCTGGCAAAGTTTTGGAAGCAGCCAAATCTGCTGGGTGTAGATGAGTGGGTGCGCAAGGTATGGCATGTAGCTTTGATGAATAAGATAACAGTATATAAGAGGATCTGCACAGGAAAAAAGGGCTCCGAAGAATTATTTACTGAACTTTTGGACTCCATTTATTAGATACTGGAATAGACATAGGCCAAGAGAGGAGGACAAAGAAGTTATATTAAGATATATCTAATTGTTCTACTGTAGTTGTAGTTGACAGAAGAAGCTAAATAAAAGCAGCTGTGAAGCTTAGGGAGATTCGAACTATGTTAGACTGCATGGAATGCTTTAATTGAGAACTGGTTATTTTGTATTGTATAGATTTAAGGATTTTCTCTTCGTTGCTAATGTGATTAATGATATCTTTTTCTTTTAACTTTTGTAAAGCTTGTAAAGCTTCTAATTGCAAAAATAAAGGAATATTTACCACACAAAAAAGAGAGCAGATCTAACACAATCTACTAATGAGGTTGAGCTTAGTGGAACATAGTCAACTTGACCTTACTGGGTTACATGCTATGTATTTTATTCTGCAAACCTGATACAAATCTTAGTATACAATAAATATTAAAATCACAGTACAGGTCATATGTTAGAAAAATGGCATCAACCTGATCAACTGGCTCAGTTTTGGTTTTTTTCAGAATTCAAAAGAGCATTTTGAAATTTTATTTTCCTTCGAAACCCCAACAGTTTGATATGGAAAATGGGAACTGGTAAAATTCAGAACATGTACCTTCATTATCAACAATGATTGAAGCAGCTCCTGTGGCTGCATTCTCGGCTTGACCTACAAAATCTAGGCAAGGGAAAAATAAGGTATAAAACAAGATACCAAATTAGAGCCTGGAACTTAGTTTCAACAAATAAGAAAAAAATAAAATTTACCTGCATAAAAAGCAAAACCAATGGCATTAAAAATATTCACAGATATTATATGTGTAGCAATGCTTGATAAAACACAAGTGTTTAATTATACCCATAAAATATAGTATACACAGAAGCAAAAATTAATTTTGACTAGTCCTCTGCTTTAGAAAAAGTGTATTTTAATCCAGACTTTTCTGAAAGCTGCAGTGTGTTGCTTTCTCATTTATGCATAGCAAGACAAACATTTGAAAGACTTTTTACAAAAGTGTGCTCTTATTCCCCCTCCCGCCCATCTATATAGGAAAACATCATGTGTGTGAAAAGGTTTTTCTAGGCAAGATATAGAATGGTGTAAAAAAGCCCTGCCGGATCAGATAAAAGGTTCATGTGCTTACACCAGCAGCCAGCTAGGTGTTCCCAGGAAGCCTACAAGCAGGGCAGGAAGACATGTCCTTCCCTTTTGTTCCCTCCTCCCCAAATGGTATTCAGGCAGACTGGCCCTGAACCTACAAGTTTCACTTCTCATGGCTAACAGTCACTGATAACAGTCATCTGCCATGAATCTGTCTAATCTTTTAAAACCGTCTAAGCAGGAGGCCAGCTATATGTTTTACAGCAACTAATTCCATTTGTAAAGTATGTGGAATGTAAAGAAGTTGGTGTGATACAGTGGCTAGATTATCAAACCAGGATCTGGGAGACCCATGTGCAAAATCCCATGCTGGCATGAAGTTCTCCAAATGACAATTGTTGTGATAATAAAATGGGAAGGAAGACGCATGTATGCTGCCTAGAGTTGCCGATTCTGGGTTGGAAAATTCCTGAAGACTTGAGGGTTAACAGACTTATAAAAACTTATCAAATGTTAATACATATGATGGGTAAACACTTTCCTACTGAAGACTAAACGCGTTTCAGCCCCTAAGGGCCTTCCTCGGTGGTCACAATTATCAATATAGTATAGACACACATTCATAGACCTGTATACAAGATCTTTAGTACTCATATATTAAAACCAGACGTTGTTTCCTTGTATATATGTAACTGTATTGCTGGTATTAGTGATGGGCCATAGGTATAGCCAGGGGTCATTTTGGGGGGGGACGCGGGGGGACGCCATCCCCCCGGGTGAGGTGCGGGAGGGCGGGGCCTGGAGCTCCCTGCTGGTGCCTGCTGGAGGTCGCCGCCGGTTGTGGGGAGGACACACTTCCGGTGATGTCAGGGGGTGTGGCATATGCTAATGAGTTATGCTAATGAGTCCCCCTAGCTCTTTTTCTACGAAATGACCCCTGGGTATAGCCATATCAATTCCACCAATTATTTGGTAACAGAGATTTCATTGGTCTGAATGTGTGTCCCTCCATCAAGATAAAAATTCTGTTCATCAGGGGGCTCATCAGGGATGATTCCACAGAGTCCACCCTTCAAAGCAGTCATTTCCTCCATGGAAACTGATCTCTGTAGTTTGGAGATGGGTTGTAATTCTGGGAGAACTCCAGCCCCTGGAGGCTGGCAACCCTAATGCTGCCCCAAGCTCCTTGGAGGAAGAGTGGGACAAAGATGCACTAGACAGAAAGATAGAAGTACTCTATTTTGTTATTCCTGAATGTACTGCTAATAATTTTTGTTGGGTTGGACCCTGCTATTCTTCAATGGAAGGTGCTGACAGCTGCAGATCTTGCAAAATAGGTCAATATTATTCCTGTATTACAGATAGGGGCACAATGAAGTTCAGAGATGGCGGCTTATCTCATGTCATCCAGCAACTTCATATAGCTCAGTTGGAATTTAAACTAATGGTTTTTCCAATTATGAACTATGCACTGAACCACTGCATCGCACCACACCAGCTTTAATAATGCAGCAGTTATAATGACCAGTGTACATATATGAAACAAAACCAAAAACATTCTACGCTATTCAATCTGTAAATTTTAAAACCCTAATTTTAGTATACTTAAAACAAAACTTTTACCTGTAGGAATCCGATTTTTCTTGAAATTTTCAATATAATCATAACCAAAGGAATCCTTCCCAACCTATTCAATAAAGATTAACAAAATTTGAGCTTGTAAATTCATCTGGTATGATACAACATTGTGACATACTTTAAAGTTCAGTACACTAAAATGCACATATTCTGTACATGCAAGGACACATTCAACTTGACTTACTGAGTCTGTGGTTTTAGCTACTTTTAACATTTAAAACCTTACTCTGCACCTCTGCGCATGTAGTTTACTTCAAACAAAGATATTTTGCTTGGAACCCTGTTTCACTCTGCAGGTCATATTTAGAATTCTAAAATGTCCCTGCCTGTGATCTCACTCACTGTACAAATGACTGCAAAATAGGAACACCTTTCAGAAGGATTTTTATATATTTATTTTTAAAAAAATTATCTTTTTTGTAAAGGCACTCAAACTGACAGTGATAAATAGAATAATATAAAAATGCTGGGGAAAAAATCCAAATAAAAACAAACACAACCATACAACAAAGATTCCCTTCATCACAGAAGTATTAGCAATGGAAGTACTGAGAAGATGCAGTTATTAATTGTCTCCCCCTCAGCTGGACCTGTTGTCACCTCTAACTCAGCTCTCACCCTCTACATTAAAAGGAACAGTTCTCCCCCCCTTCCCAGCCAGTAATCTTCAGAGCAGAAGCTTCTTTCTATAGCTCCTGAGGCAGAACATAGAGAAATCCTCACACCCTTGTATTTACCCCTCTGAGACTTCCAGATAAAAGGCATTCCATGGATAAGTTTAGATTTTTTTTAAAAAAGAAACCAACATTAAAAAATGCTATAGGATACCCATGAAATAAGTTAAAGATGAGCAGGAGAAAAGCAAAACTTGCAATGAAGCATTTTGTATCAAGCTTCAGCCAATAATATTTTGGAAAATGCTTTCACTATCTGTTATATCAAAAGTGTCTTTAAGGTTAAACACCATTCCTGAGGTTCTGTGAAGAAAGACATAAACGAAACAGAGTTATGCAAATTAACAGATGGTGTTGTTCCTGGAATTGCAAAGGACAGATCTCTGATCTTCATATGTCTGATAAATCCTGAATTCCTACGAAAATTTTATTGTGGTCATCACAAGTACTGGACAGACTATCGCAGGTATCTCTGGCATGTATTACATTGCCCTTAACCATGCTTTTTAGTGGTTTTCTGTCTGGACACATGCTGGTTCCATGTATAAAGAGAGCATGGAATGCATAATCTAATGATTTGTGTGTTAGCAGCTCTTCTTCAAAGTTATCTATTTGCTTTAAACAGCTGATATCAATCTGTTAGAGACATAGAGTCTATGGAATGATTTTCTAGGCTCTTGGATGAGTCTCCATGGAAACAGGGCACTTGACATTAGAGGGTGGGTCTTTCTCATGCCCCTTGTTTCAAACATTTTGATAATGAAAGCAAGGCTTTTTTGATGGAAAGACCACTGGTTCTGGAATGCAATTTACAAGTCAGGTCACAGTTTTCCAGTCTTAATTGAGTTTAACTTCAGCTTATTCCTATATTTTCTTCTGGATAAGTGAATGTACATCATTAAGCTAATTCTTATCAATAAATGAAAGATAGGGCATATATGTGAAATGCTAAAACAGATTCCGAAGGATGGAAACATATCACAAACAAAACTGAAATAACCATTGGCCTACTATTGCTTAAACTCATTTCCTTTATTATTGTTCTGGAAACAGTATACACTCATTTCTCCATAGTTTAATAATATTTTTCTCTGGCTCACCATCAAAACTTTTTTCATCATGCCACTGGGTGCCTGTCATCACAACAGGTATCATTCCAATGAGTTACAGAAGCAAAATACACTTGTACCTGCAAATTAATTACACTGGAAAAATACTTTCCTGGCATTTCTTATATACCATCTGCTCTGCATAACTCTGTGACTAACTTTTTTGGGAATATATTTACTTTTTATTGCATAGGAAACAAATTTTGTTACTAAAAATAAAAGATCTAGTAAGATAAAGGGATAAGAAACTGAAATACAGTTTTGAAAACAAACGACATCATGAAATGCATCATAGTCACAGATATTCACAGTGTGGGTTAAAAAATCATTAATACTGTTTCATGAGATTAATTCAAACATCAATGAACATGACCTCACCATAGTTGTTTTTGAATTAATAACCTCTGGACTGGATCACTACAATATGCTTTATGTGAAGCTACCTTTGAAAACTGATTGGAACCTTTATCATTCATCAAACCATAGTAAACACGAGGCAGGGCTATTTTTGGGCAGGAACGCACAGGAACGGAGTTCCGGCTGGCTCCTGAGTTGGCCACACCCAGCAGGAACTCATTAGCATAACAGGCCACACCCAACAGCAGAAACTCATTAGGATTGGCTACATTAGGGGTGTGTGGCCTAACATGCAAAGGAGTCCCTGCTACAAAAAAA